ATAAACTTTCTTGTGTCAATATACCCTAACAACGCCAAAGGTCTGTGCTGAATCATGTCAGAAAATTATTAAATTTGCAGGTAGAAGGACAAACCTAAGAACAAAGATCCATTACCATGCACCTCTTCTTCTCGAGCGGTTGATCAACATTCGTAATTTTGCTACTGCACAAAAATTTGCAACTATTTCACAAAGGCCGTACATCCTTTCTTTACGTCTAATGAAGTTGCTTTACAGGTTGACATGAAAAAAGTCATGCAGTAATTGCCAGCGAAATTTAATTATATCCACATTTTTATTGTTAAAAGCTTATTTTTAAATGTTAAGCATACTTAGCAATTAGGTAGTGGCAATGGTGGCAAGTGGGACATACAGTTGCTGGCCTGCACAATAGTGTAGGTGGAAGGCCACATGCTGTCTTCCCAAATTCTATCTGGCACTCATTAGATGCATTATCATGAGTCCCCACTACAAGGTGACCATGTTCCGTACACCCTACAAATGCAATTAAGTACCTGTCTTCCTGATTGAGTAAAAGTGTTCTCTAACGTGGTCCCTATTTGTGTTGAGTCATTTATAAACAGATATGAGGTAGGCGTGGAATTAGAATGCTTTGATTGCAATATATGACTAAGAGAATTTTTTAATGCTGAATTTAAGATGGTAATATACGAGGGGTTTCTATAAATAACTTGACAAGAGCTGCTAAACATAAATATCTATTTTAGGCTTTTAATTATATTCAGAAAATAAACGAGGGGTAGCTTCTTTTTCAATATGATCACCATATCAGTTGAAACATTTATCATAACCTAACCCCAAGGACACTATATCAGGCTACTAGAAATCAAGTGTCCGGAACCATGTTGTCACTGTATGTTGCACCTTAGCATCTGTTGCAAAATGGCTGCCATAGAGGTTCTTCTTAAGGGACCCGAACAGGTCGTAGTCGCTTGGTGGTAAGTGCGTACTACGGGGTGAATGATCCAGCACCTCCTAATTGTTCGAATCGAATTGTTCTGTGGAAATCCGCGCAATTTTGCGTTTGCGTTAATGCGTTTATGGCTTCATGGTTTCAAGGTGCAACGTGAAATCGCAGCAGTAAAATTGACTTTAAGCGCATTCAGCAATTTTTTCCCTCCGAAAGTATTGGAATCCTTTTTCTCGTTCGTTGATCCATAATTTCATTGCCTGTCGACGATTCCATTCCAGAAACTGGGGGGGACTCTATCATCTCTTTGCAGTCAGGAAAATATCCATGAGGAAATAATTTCGGTCTCATCTTCAGGTGAAACGAAGGTTGGTTTCTATGAACCGATTCCAACAGGGAAGGGATCCATCGCTTGCGGCAGGGATCAAAAGATCTTGAGAGTCTGGAAGGTCGGAGATTCGAGTATCGCAACGGATCGGATGGATTCCAAGGCGAATTCAGCGACCTTTCTTGAATCCCTTCCTGGGATGAAATTCTTCAGTATAGTATTCCTTATTGAGTTCATCAACAGGAACGAAATTTCGCATGCTTCTTCCTCTCACAAGAAAGTATTACTCAATCAAATTTGAATTTCAATCTCAGTTAGTGAATCTCGCTTTTCGAAGATGAGAATTTAATTCAATTTTTGAATCAAATTCTCCGCTTCCCCCCCTCCAGTGGTGACATCTGGGGGGCTTTCGAAGGGAAGAGACCAACCAAACCGAAGATACTGATTAAAAGGTGTCGAAAGTGTCCTTTTTCGGCATCCATATTCCATCATTTTGCCATGAGAATGAAATTAGCAGTCGTTCATTTAGGTTTAGGTGATTGCTCTGGTTACGCCCTCCTGTTCAGGTTCATGACTTCTTCGGTCTTCAGTTTTTAATGTATGAGATATTTGAATGAAAGTGAATAGTGAAAGTGAATGAAATGATTGAAAGTGAATAATGATTAGTAAATTGTTTTCTTCTAAAAGAGTAAATGTATTTTGAAATAAAATACAAATCGATCAACTTATTGATGATGACTCTAATATTTGGCTTTGATGGTAGATTTTCGCCGGGGGCGGTGATGTGGCAGCAGGAATAGCAAAACACCCAGAGGGTCACCACCGGATATATAAATAACGCAATCTTAGACTTCTCCCAGTGTCATAGAAGTAGTGGACCATATAAGCGAACTAGAGACAATGGTAGCGGATTTCTGCCGGGAACGTGGCAGCAAGTGGAACAAACAGTTGCCGCCTCGTGTAGGTGGAGGGCCAGCAGCTCTCTTCCTGTTATCAATCTTGCACTCCCCTAGATGTGCATTATCAAGAGTCCCCACTAGATAGTAACCATGTTCCCATCTGCCTACAAATGCAATAAAGACACAACATGGAGACTGGCAAGGTGCCAGTCTCCATGATGTAGCAAAAGGGTTCCCCGTTCTCTTTCCTATTTTTTTTGTGCCATTAATGAAAGATACGGTGAGGGCTTGCAATTACGATGTTTTCATTGCAATGTATGACTCAGGGAATTGTTAAAATTTAAATTTGAGTAAGGTATCTAATATATATAGACGACCGTGACTGACTGACTGTATGACTGACAGACCGACTTACGCTAATTCTAGCCATGTTCTAGAAGGATTAGAAATCTGAAACTTGGTACACATATACTTCTTGGGATGCAGAGTTCAGAAAAATCCGACTTTGGAGGTACATCTCCTGGTGGAACACCTTGTGGGGTGAAACGTTTTTCCTGAATATATTTTGTGACAGATGAGGATAGCATTCAGAGAGTCTGTTGGATGGCCTGGGTTCGGTGGTGTAGTAGTATCATATCTGATAGGCAAACAGATAGTCCGGGTTCAATTCCTAGGCTTTCGTTAGTCGTTTTTCCAATACATTTCCCGTTACTCATTCCCCTTCCGTAACAATATTTTTACTTGAGTAAAACAGAGAGACATGGAAACCTGAAACTTGCCATAGACGTGCCTACCGAGACGATGAGTTCAGGAAAAATGGAAAATTTTAGATCCATTCCCTGGAGCATATTTTTGTGAGGCGACGTTATTAAGTTTTTTTTTGTCCAGGCGTATTGAGCTAGTGTGGAAAGACGAAACTTGGTAGATAACTACCTATCGGGATGCTGCCGAGAAATTCAGACTTTGAAAGTAAATGCTCTGGGGGCACAAATTTCGAAGGTAGATGTTTTCTATTATTATTTTGCATCAGTTAAACTGATGAACATGGAAAGTTGAAACTTTGCATGAATGTGACTACTGAGACAAGGAGTAAAATAAAAATGTTAAGTCTCGATACATTCCCTGGGGGAATTTTTTCTAGGTGCAATGGTTTGAAAAAAAAAATAGTTGTGGCGAACTGGACAGAAATGGAAAGGTGAAACTTGGCACACGTATGAGTGACATGATATTACTGGGCTGAGGGAGTATTCATCTTTCATGGTGCATCCCCTCCAGGCAAAGCGTTAGAGTGTGTCGGATTTTCCAAACATGTTTTTTCACCTGAGAAAAGGGCAAACGAATAATATTGAAAGGTTGTCGGCATGTAGTTCACTGAGGATGGATTTCGGTAAGGAAAAAATGGTACGTTTCAGTTAAAATGGCTCAGGGCACATATTTTACATGAGGCGTATTTTCACGAATTTTCTGATTCAGCAAAACAGAGGTCGCATGAAAGTTGAAAAAATTGGCAAATAAGTACGTGATGGATAGCTGAGTACAGAAAAAAATATACTTTTCTAATATATATAGACGATCATGACTGACTGACTGACGCTAATTAAAAAAGGGGAAAGGTACAAGGTATGAGACTGAATCTTGGTGGCATGGAGTCCCCTGAGTCATCATATCAAAGGAAACATTTTACTTCGCTGAAGAACAATTGACAATTTTTATGCCTATGAAAATGTTTTCTTGTTGATTGATGCCTTGGGGCCCGATTGGAAAACTTTGTCACCTGCAGATTTACTTGGACTCAAGCACTTGAAATCACTTCAACCGTTTATTTAGGGGCAGTATCACTTGCTGCACGGTCCATGTCCATCCAAGTTTAATTATTGATACAATACGGCACAAAATATAAACAAGAAAGGTAATCTTTGACTCAGTGATTCGGGACTCGACAAAAATAATCGAACTCATCGCTACTAATCCGACGACCGCTTCAGGGAGTAATAAACCCCCCACACCACACGTTGAAATAAATGGAGGCCGGAACCAAGAACAGCAACCCAGCCGTCTGGAGAATCGGGATGAGCTCCACTTTAAGGAGGCGACGCACTAGAAGCCCGCAGGGTGTGTCGTAGGCATTTGACATCAGGCATTCATGTGGGGATCCATCGCAGCAGGAACTCAGGATGTCTGACCAGTCCGTGTAATTTCAGAATCTGGAGCATTTCAGGGAGCTCTGCATCACGTCCAGGCTTGAATATCCGCAAGGTTGTTCGAGTGGAATTTTTCCTGCATGGTTTTGTCCAGAGGTTTCTCTTCTTGTTTCAAACTCTGCTTCATAGAAAACTATGGCCAAGTTGTAAATGTACATGGTGTCTTTCTAGGGCAAGAAATACTCATTGGGTTCTGCTCTGAGGTGTGGGCAGAGTCCATACATCAGCTGGGATATCGCAATCCCAGGCCAAAGTGCGAGTGACAGAAGCCACACAAAGGACAGTTCTAGCGGCTTCATTCCAGAAACGTTCGTCGCACGGTAGCTCCGATTCAACCAATGGCACCGATACGGCGACAAAGATACATTTGCGTCGATAAGATTAAGAATCTTAAGTAGCCGTTTGTGTGCCAATCCTGTGCAACAGTGCCCACGGCCTGTGGACAATGACGTCGGGCCAGATAAATAAAATCTTTGTAACCTGCTGATTCACTTGCACACTAGCGCTTGAACACTCTTCAATCCTTCCTTAATGGGCTGAATCACTTGCTGCACGGTTCATGGTCATTCCATATTAACATTACAACCACATTTAATAAAAATAATATTATTTATAATAAAAAAGTAGAAATAACTAAACATGTGGAACATTAATGGGAAATCACCATTTTTGATAATTGAGGCCACGAAACTCTTGAGTTGGTCAAGTACGATGCAGAATTGTATCTAATAAATGAAATAATCTGACGACCCCCACAGACGGTAACAACACACTTTCCACAACGGGAACATACAAAATATTATGATAGGAACAAAGAACAGCGATCCAGCCGTTTGGAGAATCGGGATGAGCTCTTCTTGGGGAAGGCGAAACACTACAGGCTAGCAGGGAAATCCGTAGGCTGACGACTCCGGGCATTGAGGTGGGGATCCTTCGCAGCAGGAACTTGGGGTGACGGGCCAATCGGAGTGATTCGTGACTCCGCAGCATTTCAGGGTACTCTGCATCGCATTCCAGGCTTGAACATCTCCAGTGTTGTTCGAATGGAGGGTTTTCTCCATTTTGATGGTCAGTATCTGATGATTCTCTTCTCGAATCAGTGTCCTCTTCATCGTAATGGACAGGATCACCCATGCGAATTCCGGGATTACAATGGTAATGAGAACCAAAGTGATTAACAATCCTCCCTCTTGCCCTTCTTTGATGGTGAAGATAATGTAGGCTGCCAGCCACAGTAGAGACAACACGAAGATGGCGATGGCTATGTTGTGGATGTAGATGGTGCCTTTCTTCTGCAGGAAATACTCATACGGCTCGGCTCTGAGGTTCGAGCGGACCCCGTAGACCAGCTGGGATATCGCTATCCCGAACCAGAGAGTGAGAGACAGAAGCCATATTAAGCACGAAACCAATGGCTTCATTCCGAAAATGTTCTATTTCAACTAGACTCACCGGCAAAAAGCTTTATTTGTGTAGATAAGATAGAGTATGTTGAATAAACTTTCTTGTGTCAATCCACCCTAACTATCCCACGGTCTGGGCTGAATCATGTTAGAAAATTATTAAATTTGCAGGTAGAAGGACAAACCTGATAACAACAAAGATCCATAACTATGCATCTCTTCTTCATGAGCTGGGGGCAACAATTGTAATTTTGCCATTGCTCAAAAATGTACAACTAGTTCACAAAGGCCTTACATCCTCGCTTTACGTATAATGAAGTTTCTTAACAGGTATAATAAAAGTTGAAAAGAAAGAAAATCATGCAATTGCGAGAGAAATTTAAAAATATCCACATTTTTAGTGTTAAAAGCTTATTTTTAAATGTTTAACATAATTAGCAATTAGTTGGTGGCATGTAGTGGATGTGACGTAGGTATCAAGCATTCATCTGACGATCCTTCGCAACAAGAACTCGGGATGTCGGGCCAGTCCGTGTAATTCCGGATTCCGCAGCATTTCAGGGTGCTCTGCATCACGTTCCAGGCTTGAATATCCGCTAGGTTGTTCGAGCAGAGTGTTTCCTGCATGGTTTCGTCCGGAGGTTTCTCTTCTAGTATCAAGCTCTGCTTCATCGTGAAGGCCAAGGTCCCCGAAGCGAATTCCAGGATCACCATCGAAAAGAAGACCAATTGATGAGGCAAGAGTTAACATGGCTCCTACTTGCCCTTGCCCTTTGCACGTGAAGAAAATGCAGCCTGCGAACCACAGAAAGGACATGACAAAGACAACAATGGCCACGTTCTAGATGTAGATGTTGTCTTTCTGCGGCAGGAAACACTCATTGGGTTCCGCTCTGAGGTGCGGGCGGAACCGGTTCACCAACTTGGATATCGCTATCCCAAGCCAGAGTGTGAGAGACAGAAGCCGCATGAAGGAAAGTACAAACGGCTTCATTCAGAAAATGTTAGCCGCACGGTAGCTCATATTCAACTAAGAATCAAATGCTACATTTGCGTCCATAAGATAAAGAATCTTAAGTAGCCGTTTGTGTGCCAATCCAGCGGAACTGTGCCAACGGTCTGTGATCAACAACGTCAGGTCTTTATGTGACTTATAGCCAGAAGAATGAAATGCATGACAACAAAAATCCATTCCTATGCTTCTGTTTATCATGAGAAGATTATAAAAAGAGGAGCGTAAGAATCATTCAACATTTTCTGAATCAGCATTTGTAATTTAGCCACTGGGTAAATCTTGGATGCTGGTCCGCATGAGCTAACTTCCTCGCTTTACTTCCAGTTAGGTTTCTTTGCACGACATATCAAAGCTAAAATGTAGGAAAACCAAACAATCGTTAGTGAAATTTAATAACATATGCATCTTTAGATTATAAAAAAAAAACAAATTCCTTAATGTCAGACACCAAAGGCACGTCGGTGGTGGACCGCCAGCTACGTCTCGGGAAGAGAACTGGTGGTCCACCACTTGGCGGGCCATTGACTGCATGTCCGCTCACAACCATTGACCTTCCCGGCTGCTGGAAGGCCACCTCATAACAAGAAAGTTGGTTGGTGGCGGATCCCCAGCAGGGAAAAGGCCTAATGCCGTCCAAGCATATCAGACTCACATTTAAAAGTTGGAAATCTTATTTGCTCAGAAGAGTGGACTGCGATGCTGATAACTAAAGAGAACCGAAGAACTGAAGAAAGAGAACTAAAGCACCCAGTTTAGCGCGACTGCTCTGGTTCCGTCCTCCTGTTCAGGTACATGACTTCATCGGTCTTAGTATCGGTGTCTGGATTTCAGTTTTTAATGCATGAGATAATTGAGCGGTTAACATAGAGAAAGAGGAGGTTACCTGCCGGTGGCAACCAGGGACGTCAGAACAAGGGGGCGACCTGTACTTTGAATTCTTCGGATACTTCTCGGAATGGCAGGATGATGCATCATATCTAGACTTCTCATGGGATCATCGGTCTGGGCTGGTGCCTCGGTCACCTGCTCTCTTCCCGTAATCATTCTTGCACTCCCCTAGATGCATTATCGAGAGTCCCCACTAGATAGTAACCAATAAACGTTAAAGAAAGAGCGAGAATAGTAACATAATGGAAGTACCTCAAATTCTTTCAACCATGTGCCTTTTTCCATTCTTCATCCAATGAATGTGCTGCTCTCCGTCTTTGGAGATTTTCAGGGCTGGGAAGTCCTGCCTCATCCGCCGTATTCGCCTGACCTCGCACCCTCAGATTAATACTCGTTCCGGGCGCAACAGAACCATCTAAAGGAAAAATGCTTTGATGATCGCGACCAGCTGGAAAAGGACCTGCGAACTTTTTTCAAGTCGAAATCCCCCCAATTCTATGAAGATGGTATTATGGATTTGCCCCGTAGATGGGAATACGTAGTACATAATGACACATGACAAATGACATATGTAATGTTGATGTTCTTTTTTTCAATTAAAAACGGAAAATGAAAATTCCGACAAGACTTTTGTACCAACCTGATAGTTGCTCATAGGAGTGATCACGTGAATGCCCTCGTAAAGAGCATTTATTACATGCCGAATCAAATCCCCTAGATCCTGGTTGCTTCGGGAATCAACAATTCCCAGCTCGTGTCTGTCTGTTTCCCTGTAATGGTTCTATAAAAATTTCATGAAAATATTTCCAACCCAAACCTTTAATTTTAGAGATCGGAACTTTTTTTTACTACATTACCCTAGCAGTTGCAAGCTGCAGTGTTCGTGCGAATGTCCCCGATCGTAGCGTAGGTTAGACTTAAATGAGAACATCTGTTACGAGCCCTGCACCTGGCACTGCCTGCACGAACTCCTTCCCGTCGAAGTCCGTCGTGTAGCAGGACTGGTGCAAGGAATGTGGATAACACATAGTGGGGTCAGATTCATGTACTGGAACTGCTTGTTCAACTGGTTTGTCATGAGCACGAATCCGCCAGTATAAAGCGCGGACTGGGAATTGCGCGCTACTTTTGTGCTACATCGAAACTTTTCAAAATTTTGGAAAATTTCATTCTATCAAGTTCTTATAATGGACCATATGCGGTCGGGATATATCAGTAGCGAATTCTTGCCGGTGCCGAGAATGTGGCAGCAAGTGGGACATTCGGCTGCTGCCCCGCTCAACAGTGTAGGTGGATTGCCACAAGCTGTCTTTCCATACCTCAACTGGTCTTGAACGATGTGATGCACGGTACCTATTGAGATGCTCAGTTCCTCTGCAACGGCACTCAGTTTCACCGGTCGGTCTTCTCTGATGATTCCATCAAGGCGACCAAGATTGTCATCCGTACATGAGGTGCGTGGTCGCTCAGGTCGCTGCTCATCTTAAACGTTAGTCCGGCCGTTTTTGCACGCATTACACCAAACGCACACTTGCAGCCGTGACCCGATATCAGGGCCTAACACCTCCTCAAGCTGTTAAAAGATTTCAGATCGTTTTGTGCTTTTTGCATTTAGAAATCTATTAACACTACGCAGCTGGACATATGTCCACGGGTGGAGTATGACGGCCATCTTTACACTGTACTATGACGTCATTACCTTCGAGTGGCACGCTTTGGCGGCAACTGAATGAATCAGATAAGGCTCCCCTTGTGTTCAGTGCTTTCAAACTTACCTCGCCTGCTCCTTCATGTGTTAATGCTCTTGCAAAGTTATTTATTGAAACATCCTCGTTGAAGTGCACGGGAATAAGCAAGCGTGAAGGGAAAGTGAAAAAACAATTCGTTCCCATCTTGTCTCAGTTGGTCATGATTAATCAAAGTCGGAGTACAAAAAAGGCGCTCATACCGCAAACTGTGATAATTGACCAGCTAAATGACAATTGGCATGTCTTCATGTGAAAATGTTCTCTTGTGCCTAGATGCCTTGGGGCCCGATGAGAAGAAAGTCTCGTCACCTGCTGATTCACTTGCACTTCAGAACTTAAAATGACTTCAACCCTTTATGTAGGGGCAGTATCACTTGCAGCACTGTCCATCTCCATCCAAGATTAATTGTTGATACAAAACCAGGCAAAATATTATCATGAAAGGTAATCTTTGACTCAGTGATTCGGGAATCGACAAAATCATCGAACTCATCACAACTAATCCGACGACCGCTTCAGAGAGTAACAAAACCACCCACACCACACGCTGAAATTAATGGAGTCCGGAACCAAGAACAGCACCCAGCCGTCCGGAAAATCGGGATGAGCTCCTCTTCGAGGAGGCGACGCACTTCAAGCCTGCAGGGTGTGTCGTAGGCATTTGACATCAGGTATTCACGGGATCCTTCTTAGGAGGAACGCGTGATGTCGGGCTTGTCCGTGTAATTCCAGACTCCGCAGCAATTCAAGGTGCTCTGCATCTCGTTCCAGGTTTGAATATCCGCCAGGTTGTTCGACTAGAGTGTTTCATACATGTTTTTGTCCAGAGGTTTCTCTTCTTGTATCAAGCTCTGTTTCATCGTAAAGGCCATAGTCCTCGAAGAGCGTGAGGAGAAGCGAGAAGTGGGCGCCTCCTGTCTAAATCTCTGGTGCGGCCGCCTCCACGGTCACGGCATTTTCCACGGTGTTCAGAGTTCGGTTGCATGTACTTTGTTATTTCTTCGTTGTTTCTTCAGGAATGTTGGCCAGAAAGTGACCAAATCCCTCATGGGTTGGCGCTTTTTTCTTTTAAGGCAGTTCCACTTCAGAACGAGAACAATTTTTGGAAGTCTAAGGTAAGGGAAATTCCTGTTTGCATTAGTCATGGACATGCCGAGTAAGATAACGTTCTGAGAGAATGAATGGGAATATAAATTTTTCCGTGAGGAATAGGCACAAAATACGGCTTCTCTGCAGTCCTTACCCTGCAACTTTTTGTCTCCTTGTCCTTCAGCCCCAGATTCCATGCGATTCTCTTTCAAATTTCAATTCAATTCAATTTTCGAAAAGAAAGTGAGGGAATTGAGTTGGCATTCTCAAAGTATGTAACTAACGAATATTTGTCGACCGGGAAATCTGTCTTAGGAACAATTTTACATTGAATGAACTTCTGACATGAGCGAGAAGGTGAATGTATATTTTTCAATTAGACAGTAAAACCCCAATCACTCATTCAAATATTGACAAGGTATCGTTTCAATGATCATGACTGATCGACTGATCTCCCCGCACAACCGGATAAACAACAACTCAAAAACACATGAGTCACAGCGGGAACCAGATACAGCAACCCAGCTGTCTTGAGAAGCGGGTTGAGTTCCTCTCGGAGCAGGCGAAGCACTTCAGGCTCACAGGGTATGTCGTAGATTTCCGTATCCTGGCACGGATGTGGGGATCCTTCGCAGCAGGAACTCGGGATGACGGGCCAGTCAGAGTAATTCCCGACTCCGCAGCATTTCAGGGCGCTCTGCATAGCGTCCCAAGCTTGAGTATCCGCAGTGCCGTTCGAATGGAGGGTTTCATGCATGGTCCGGTTCAAAGATTTCTCTTCTTGCATCAGGGTATTCCTCATCTCATTCTCCTCTCCTCATTTGCCGTGAATGAAGAAGACAGTGGATATATTTTACAAAATCATACTCATGAAATATACAATTTCGATTTCCCTTCTGATTTTGCACTTTAAATGCCAACCATCAACAAGGAAGGTTTTCTCTCGCTCGGAGCTTCGCTTGCTCCCTGCCTGA